CACTCTTACTCTACTTTAAAGCTGCAACTACACCGCAGGTGGAGTCGAGCAGAGCTTACCACAAAAGATTCTCAGCCGGTGTTCTGTCCTTTCTTCATGCATAGTCATTATTGTCATACATTGTCATCCCATACAGATGTTCATACGTGTAGCACAAACTGACGGCTGCTGAGAGTTGCCTGCTTGAAGGAACGACTGTTCACGAATGCGACAGACGTAGACTGCTTTGGACGACGCTGATTGGTTGAAATGGGAGTGTCCCGCCCATATCTATGGTCCCGCCCATAGATATAAACACGCCTTTGTGTTTGGTGCGCTCGCTTTTTAATCCGGGTTGCGCTGGCGGAGGAGAGTTCCTACATGCCACTGAATAAAATAAAACAAACACATTATGAAATAAAAAAACAATTTTTTTTTTTTAAATACATAGGTTACATTAAATAACAATAAACACATACAAAATTATTTTTCAAAATATATTTTCAATCTAAAACGTGTAAATAACTTATTTTCATTGTGATGCAAGTAAACATTTCAAAGCGAATAACGGTAATATTCTGCAACTTTACAGCTATATGATGTGAAAATCCATTTTAAAAGTTGAGATTTTTACTTTAAATTTTTTTAAATGGTTTCAACATAATGTACTCATTAGTTAACTTAAACAAAGGTAGGCTACAAGGATACAAAGTTCTTTATTTACCATTTGTGCACAGACCAACAATCTAGGCACATTGGGATTCTTGTGCAGAGCTCGTTCTGTCATAGTAAAAAAAAAAAATAATAACTGAAACAATACTAAATAAATAAAATAAAAGTAAGAGAAAAGTGCATATATCTTGTACAGAAAGTATGTAACATCTACACTTTCCCAAAATACATCAGTTCTGCTCTCATTAGAAGAGTTAATACAAATTTTCAGGGAAGAAAGAAGGTTTGTAAGCTCCATCATCCAGGTAGATAACAAACAAAGGTTAAATCATGTCATCTGGACCAGTTTCTTTGAGTGAGAAACGTTTCGTCTTCCATCCGGAAGACTTCATCAGTCTGCAGCCTGCCAATCCAAACAAGGAGAAACAACAGAAATGGATGATTTAGCACAAGAACAGGACTGACAGTCAGTGACAACAGGTTTATGACGCGACTACTTAAAATAATCAAATCATCCGTACATCCAGCCGTCATCTTTAGGCACTTACTCCTTTTTGGGTTATGGGGGTCACTGGTGTCCATATCCAGTCAATGCCATCACTGTGCGAGAGGCAGGGAACACCTGGACAGGTCTCCGGTCTATCATAGGGACATAGAGACAAACAAATATTCACTCTCTTCCTCACACCTAGGGACAATCTACCAATCAGCCTAACATGCATGTTTTTGGTCTGTGGGAGGAAACTGGAGTACCCGGAGAAAACCCATGTATGCACGGAGAGAACATGCAAACTCCACCCATGTCCCCCGGCCATGATTTGATTCAGCAACCTTCTCGCCGAGAGGCAGCAGCTCTCTCAACTGCGCCACCGTCTTAATCACTTCCAATGAAAATCTGAATGTTTTCAGTTCTACCACTTCCTGCCATTTTTTAGTGTCACCGTCTCCAGTTAACATTTTATTTTTCTTAGTTCATATCTTAGATCTTATTACTGTTTTTCTTTTACATTTTATACTTTTGTTGGCTGTAACTGGGACACTGTGTACACAATTTCATTCCACCACATGTACCACATGTGACAGATAAAGAAACTGACTCCGACTCCAAACCGTGCATCCCAGCAGGTCTCACTCCTGTTTGTTAAACCTTTCCTCTCACTCTTGCAGCTGTTCTTCTGCCATAGATTAATCCAGACACTTGTTCTACCCTGTCTGCACTTTCTTCATTCATTTTTGTTCCTTGCAGTCAGAACTCCACCCACTGGTTTGGATGGTTGAGCCCAGATACCTAAACTCACCTTTAGTCCTTTACTCTGTGCAGCTTCTCTCTCACACCTGTCTCACTCTCATTCACACGTTTTCTGTTTCACTTCTACTTTACTCCCGTTTCCACCTCTCCAGGAGCCCCTTTTACCAGCTCCCTACTCTCACTACAGATCACTGCAGACATCGTGGTCCATGTTGTCTCCTGCCTAACTTCCTCTGCTAAGCTGCAAAGCCCTCCTTGAACTCTTCTGTCCATTCTACTACACATCTCACTGTCAGAGTACATGTCCTCTCACCTGACTCATACAAAAACACAGTTCTTAAAATGGGATTTGATCTCATTTGTTTGAAAATATTGTAAACTCAGCAACATATCCATCTATCCATCCAGTTGAATGCCTCAATCTGTTTTTTGAAAACCCATCATTTTTTACCCTTTATCTATCATTTGATTGTCACTGTGCCACAAAATTTGGAAAGAGGACGAACAGCGTCAAATTAATACGGGCGCTGTTGTCTGAAACATCTACCAAAGAAATGGTTTGGTATAAAGTTTATTCATTTTAAAAAGCAAAACAAAACAATTCCATTACAATATAAAAAAAGATACAAGAGATTTAAAATGAAAGGCAGCAGAAAGAAGAAACAATCTTATTTTATCTGCCCCTTTTTTCAAACAATTATTTCAGACATAATAATTTTCAAGTAACAGAACAAAATGAATAACTCTTTCTAATTTTTCTAATTCTAATACAAACACACACTAAGCTACTTCATATATATTTTTTTAACAATTCAGCTTTGATCTTTTTCTTAAATGTACACATTGACTTGGCATTTTTTACATCACTCTCTAGACCATTCCACAATCCAACTCCTTGGATTGAGGTAGACCTTCCCTTCAGACTAGTTCTGAATTTTGGTTTGACAAATATCTCTATCCCCTTAAGATTGTAACAACTTTGTCTTTTAACAAAATTTCTTTGGATATTTAATGGTAATGTGTTATTTTGAGCCCTATACATAACTGATAAAATACTGTAATCTACCAAATCATGGAACTTCAATAACTTCAGTTGATAAAATAATGTGCTTGATGGGTGACAGTAATGCTTTCTGGTGATAATTCTTACAGCTCTTTTCTGTAAAATAAAAATAGGTTTTGTAAATGTTTTACATGCTTTCCCCCAAACATCAATGCAATAGATTAAGTGTGGAACAATGATTGTGTTATACAACATGTACAGAGCTTTATCATTTAATAATTCCCTGACTTTGTATAGTACTGCAATAGATTTAGATATTTTTGTTCTTACAGAATTTATGTGATTTTTCCATGTTAGCTGTTCATCAATGATTACACCCAAAAATTTCATCTCATTAACTCTACAAATCTCAACACCCTCAATTTTAAATGGATCATCAACAGTTCTCTTTTTGTTACTAAATATCATGTAATTAGTTTTATCTAAATTTAATGATAATTTATTAATTTTAAACCAAGTTTGTATTTTATTAAATTCTGTCTTCATCAATTCCAACATCCGTTTTACATCTTTACCCAAACAAAAAAATGTGGTGTCATCTGCAAAAAGGACACATTTGAGGAGTCCTGATACATTCACTAAGTCATTCACATATAAAATACATAACTTTGGTCCAAGTACAGAGCCTTGAGGAACTCCACAAGTGATATTGCACAGGTCAGATCTTACACCATTTATTTGTACAAACTGTTTCCTATCTTTTAGATAGCTAGATACCCAGTGTAATGCTGGTCCTCTTATACCATATTTATTTAATTTTTCAAGGAGAATAGTGTGGTCAATAGTATTGAATACTTTTTTTAAATCAACAAAAAAACTAACACAATACTGTTTTTGATCGACAGCAGTAGTTTTTTGTTCTATTATTTCCATGAGAGCCATTGATGTAGAGTTTTTTGCTCTAAACCCATACTGACTGCTACTTAGAATGTTTTGTTTAGTAATAAATTTATCTAATCTTGTCACAAACAGTTTTTCTAGAATTTTTGAGAATTGTGGTAATAAGGATATTGGTCTATAATTATTGAACACACATTTATCACCATTTTTAAAGAGAGGAACTGCCTTTGCTACTTTCATATTGTCTGGAAATATTCCTTTAGAAAATGATAAATTACAAATATATGTAAACGGCTCATAACATAACTCATTATGTCCTTTACAAACATCATATCCATGTCCAGCCAGAAATCCTTCAAGATAAAGACAGAAATGGCCCCATAGTGAATTTAGATTACCTCTGAAGGTGAGCAGACACTTATTATGTCTCTGTTATGTCCTGCAGGAAAGAAACAGCAAGCAGTTCTATTTATAGACTCGTTTCAAGGAACCAGTGCAGTAATTCAGAGCTGTGGAAGAGTGCTCTTAGGTAAAAGAGGCATGTTTCTTCCTGCAGTTTATAGCAGCAGTGATGCCATCATATGTAGGATAGACCTGTTGCCCTGACATCCCACATCATGAAGGTCCTAGAGAGACTTCTGCTGACCCACCTGACTGGACTAACAAGCACATATCAGGACCCAATGCACTTTGCTTATCAGCGTGGACTTGGAGTTGAAGATGCCATCATACACCTGCTTCAGCAAACTCACTGTCATCTAGAAAAGACAGACAGCACTGTGAGAGTCATGTTCTTTGATTTCTCCAGTGCATTTAACACAATCCAGCCTGATTTGCTTTGTCAGAAACTCCAGAAGACTCAGGTGGAGGCCTCAACAATCACCTGGATCAAAGACTACCTGACAAACAGACCAGTTTGTGAGACTGAAGGGTTGTGTGGCTGACCAGTCTAACCAGTAGTTCAGGAGCACCACAGGGGACTGTACTCTCACCGTTCCTTTTCACTCTGTACACCTCAGATTTCCAGTACAAAACAGACTCCTGTCATCTGCAGAAATATTCTGATGACTCTGCAGTGGTCGGGTGTATCAGAGATGGACAAGAAGCTGAGTACAGGGAACTGGTGGACCGCTTTGTGGCATGGTGTGGAAACAATCATCTCATCTTGAATGTGAACAAAACAAAGGAGATGATTGTAGATTTCAGAAGAAACAATCAGGTCCAACCCTATTTCCATCATGGGAGAAGAAGTGGAGGTGGTGGAGAAGTACAAACACCTTGGGGTTCACCTGGAGATGCAACAGTGAAGCGTCTACAAGAAGGGACAGAGCAGACTGTACTTCTTGAGGAAGCTGAAGTTCTTCAACGTTTGCAGCAAGAT